TGAAGGACAATTTTGCCGCCGACATATTCCACTGTCACAACCAATACTTGTATATGTGGACGAATTATTCGGATGGTAATTCATGGTCTGATTTAGGCCGAGAGATTGTACGTGGCAGATTCAAAGTTCAAAATTAAAAGAACAATTTTGATTAAAAGAGAAATTATGTTTGCAATTAAGCTACCATAATACTACCTCCCTCCCGAATAGATTCGACGTATCACGTATTGACTTTTCTTCATTAATAATAATACACTTTGAACAATAATTTTAATTACTATGTTTGTAAAAAAAATTATAAATTGGACAGTGGGGGGGAGGGTTATATTTTTGTGAAAATATTTTACGTAACATTTTGATATAATTTTCACATTCAAGATAATTTCATATTGAAAAAATATCATTGATCAAATTGATTGTCATTGTTCATGAAAAGTTGACGAATCTTTTCGGACGAAGTGAGTAATATATACGAATAGAAGAGAATAATAGATGTAACACCCCGGCCCCGCAGGACCCGAGGTAGTTACTTCGGACCAATAGTACTGTCCTCACAAACCGTCACTAGCCTTTTACGCGCACTTTGTGCTCACTCGTGCGCGCCCTGAGAAACTTCCCAGAGGGTCACCCATCCCAAGACTACTCTCATGCAAGCACGCTTAACTTTGGAGTTCTTAGCGGATGAGTTCCCTTAAAAGGAGATGCACCTTGTTGGTATGAGTAGTACTATTAATCCGTTTATATTAAATCTCAAGTGTTACAATAGATAAAGCACATACTCCCTCCATTTCAAAATAAACCTCACAGTCAAACTTTTGGGTCAAACTTGTTAAACATTGACCGCTTATTACTCAAAATTAATAATATTTTATCCCAAAAAAATTATATAATGTGCTTCATTATAATATCTATTTTTCAAATGTCAATTTATTATAAATTTTATATGCATATATTAATAGGAAATTACGGTCAAACGTCCGCCTAGAAGACCGCAAAAGTCAAACTGTGAGGTTTATTTTGAAACGGAGGGAGTATATAATACGTAGCATTCACGAAGTATACACCTGGTGTGTTGTAGGAAAAGTGAGTGACGTGGCCTGAACAGACGTCGCAATTGCATGGGAGCCAAAATAATGAGCTCCCAGTGTCTAATGCCACCATGAACGGCATTGGAGGCGTTCCCACATAAACTTTTACAAAATGATGACTGTAAATTAAAGTCGATGGGTACAAATTAATTAAAAACATATATCGGTCTCACGTACGTACGGTTAATTGCTCTATTCATATATACTTCCAGATCAGATCGACTACCTTTGTATTTTATTATTAGTTACTCCCACTCTCCCAATTTGACGGTCTCATTTCTTTTGGACACAAATTTCAATAAAGTGGATGAAAAGGTAAAAAGTTGTTGTTGAGATTTGAATAGAAAAAGGTGAAATGGTGTGGACCACATCTTTCTTTTCAAAAAGGAAACAGGACCATCATTTTGAGACATCCAAAAAGAAAATACGGAATCATCATTTTGGGATGGAGGGAGTACAAATTTACAATGCAACCATTTGACAACATACTCCCTCCATCCCAAAAAGGTTCGTCAACTTTGACTTTCACATAGATTAATAAAGTAAAAACTGTGTGGTTGAAATTTGTGCAGAAGAGTGAGAATTAACTTTAGTCACATATTCCTTACTTTAAATGGAAATGACAAATCTTTTTGGGACATCTAAAAAAGGATATTTGGCAAACCTTTTCGGGACATAGGGAGTATAACTTTGGCTATCAACACGTTTAATTAATTAGGTAAAAAAAAATTAAAAAGCGTATAACATTTTGAAAATAAAATTTACACAAATAAAATGTAGTACTTGTAACATTTCACGCAAAGCGGTACAAGTTAGTTTTATACATATTCCCACAATCCCACGCACCTCCCCAATTAAGTTCCTAGAAACACTTTTTTAAGTTAAATTTTACTACGTATACTGTAACCGTTAGTTATTCAAAATTTGTATACGATGGTGTAAGATACGGAGTACCTATATACTTCGTATATACTTTCAGAGTTTCAGATATTTAAGGTCAAAATCACATTGCATGCATTATATTATATATACTCCGTACTCATTAGTCATTAGTGAACTTACTGTGAGAACGTTTGTATCTGAGAGGTGGCATCTCCAGATGAAAAGGTGATGGCTGGAGAAGATTGACGTCTCCTGCAGACCTTTTATATGTGACTCCATAAAGGAGTTATACGCTGGGTTATCTACTCGGTGAGTACTCGGCGAGTACTCGGCGAGTACTCGCTACTCGGCCTCTTACCTTGCAGAGTAGCACCTTAACTCGGTCCGAGTTAATTTTCCGAGTTACTCGCCGAGTACTCGGCGAGTTAGTCAACTCGGTGAGTTTGTCAAATTGGCGAGTACTCGGCTATTACTCGGTATTAAAAAAAAAGACATGTGCAAACAAAACCTATGAAATTAATTGCTACTGGTCATCCGTTTGGAGCTTCGACTACTTCTGCTACATCATTTGGAGCTGCGATTGCTACTGCCAGGAGCTCCGACCGCTACTGTGAGGAGCTGCGACTACTACAATGATACTGCAAGGAGCTGTGAGTGCTACAGTGCTACGGCGATTGTTAAAAAAAATTAAATTTCTTAGTTATTAAGTTTTCCATTGTTAAAAAAATAAATCAATCATGTGATTATCCAAACTACTGTAGCCGCAATTTTTTACTATAGAATTCCAAGCTGCTAAGTTTCTTAGTTATTTAGTTCCTTTCATATTAAGCTTTCATTTTTATATTAATATTTCCTTGGCAGTGTGTATGTTTGGAACTTTAGTCAGAATTGATATCACCTCTTTCGTATATTCCCCTCTCCCTTGTCTAATTTCTTATTATCTCCCCTCCTCTCCTTCATGATAAATACACACTCACAAAATCTTTTAATTTATAGTCATGAACTCTGCTCAGTCTGCGTATAGACTCGTAGATATTGATTTAGATGACCCGGAAGTGGAAGAGGAAGAACATGTGTGGAATCTGACTACTAAAGATCTATTTGGGGACATGGAGGATGGAAGAAGGAAATCACGACCTTGAACCCAACGAAGATTAATATCAGACCAACTTATTAGATGATTGACTGCTTTATGACTTTTGTTTTATGACTTTTGCTACTCCATCATTAGGATAATAGGATTTCCATCTTTTTATTCACTTCTATGCATATTAAGACAATTTAAAGACTATTTTAAGACTATTATATTTCTATAATCTCAGGCACCTATATTATTATATTTAATTAATACATGACCGAGTAATCACCGAGTAATCCCGAGTAACCTGTCCTACTCGCTACTCGGCCCTTGACCGAGTAGCTACCGAGTAGCGAGTTAACTACTTAGGTTATACGTAGTATATATGAGGTTCTTTAAAATTTTTGGGATATTCACGGATAAGTACACTAATCAATACATGTTTCACGTGTGCACACTTAATGGACCATTTTGTTTTTGTGTGCATTTATTTATATATTTTTCCCTACAAACATATAAATATGTACATATCATGATTCTCCATATATGACATTGACCCTTTTCCTTCTTTACCAGGGGCTAGGGCTCTCAATCTTCCGTACGTGCATTTGCGCAATAAAAAATGTATCTGGTAAGGTTGTATTGTCGCATTATATTACTAAATAAACATGTAACTTCTTGATAGTACTTGTTACACCACATGCACTTCCATGAGCTTCCACTCAATTACGTTTCTGTTTGACCTTGTAGTACAAAGATGTGTGTTTTTATATAATAATTAAACCGGAAAGATTAAAAATTTGGTTATTACTCAATCTGATCATATTAACTGTGTCATTTGAGCCGTTCTAGCTGGACAGGTCGATCTGGAACATGGTGATGATGGTGTTGGAGGAATTCGGTCGGATAAACTTGCAAAAAGCGTTAGCAAAATAATATAGCTCGAGTCGCGTAAATGCTGTCCTCAATAAAAGTATTTCTGACTATCGAAAACTTTTCCCCAAGATTAAAACGAGCTCTTCGGCGTAAGCCGATAACAGAACAACAAGAATAGAAAAATATATTAATCCAGCAGAGGTGTCTACGTGTTTGAACAAAATAATTGTCAATAACATTTCTGTATGAATATACTCGTATGTCCGCTCTTTCCGTCTTTCGCACAATACATGGAGTATATATTTACCCATAAAGCAACAACTCAAAAATTTGGAATAAGATAATGATAGTGAGTTAGTGGAAGGAATTACCAAAAAACGGGATTTCCCCGTCTGACATTCCATACAAAAAAACGGGAGTCGGATTTCCCAATTCCGACTGGAGATTAGGGTTTGCGAAAAATACACAACTACCTAGTCGGAATTGGGGAATCCGACTAGAGTAATTTTAAAAAAAAAACCCACTACCTAGTCGGAATTGTGTAATCCGACTAGGGTAAATATTTTTTAAAAAAAATAGAATTCGTTGTTTTAATAAATGGAGCCTAATTTAAAAAAAATCTAACTAACTACCTAGTCGGATTACCCAATTCCGACTAGGGTATTTTTTTAAAAAAAAAATTATTCCGTTGTTTTAATAAATGGAGCCTAATTAAAAAAAAATAACTACCTAGTCGGATTACCCAATTCCGACTAGGGTATTTTTTTTTAAAAAAATGGATTATTTCGTTTAATTAATGGGACTGTAATTTAAAAGAAAAAATGCCTTGTCAGAATAGGGAAATCCGACCATAATATTGATTTTAAAAAAAATTGGATTGCTCGCAGTATAATTTAAAATAAGAGTATAATGCTAGTACGTACGCATGTACGTAGTCGGAATTGGGGTATCCGACTAGGGGGTAGGGGACGTCTTTTGTTGTGGTTCAAGTATTTCACCACACTCCTACCCTAATAACTCTATAAAAACGGTTCATTTCTTTTCAAAATTTACAAACACACTCCAAAAACACTTCTTTCTTTCTTAACATACCATCCGCACATATCATATTCATCCAAAAACACTTTAATATATTCATTATTTTTTGTTTAGCATTCCCCTCTCATATTATATTTATAATATATACCATATATAAAAATGTCTAGTGAGGGCAATATTGTTGTTATGGTTCATTGGAATGGCTCTACATCTCAAAAAGATGATGAAATAGAGTACTCCATACCTCCTAGGGCGGTACTATGGGTTAGTGAAGGAGATGATTATACTACTATACATGAGAAAGTTCTAAATCATGTTAGAGGCGACGGATTTTCCGAAATTAAATTAATTCACGGAAAATTGCCAAAGTATAAGAATTCAGTATATGTTGCTTCTAGATTATGGCTCATTCACGATGAGCGGACATGGCGTCATTTTTTCCGGATCGCTACAAATGAGTATGAGGAGTTGCACATTTACGTGGAAGCTTCAGAGACCCCACCACAAAATTTGGAGTTCCACGGAACTCCCGGAGAGGAAGGCTCATCATCGATATATGGTCGGAGGAACAACCGCCAAATGTTTAAGAACTATGAATCTCCCGGTATGTATTGTTCAATTTAAGTAGAATTTACAATGATTTGATTTTATTTGTTATCATTTTAAGAGTGTAGAAGTAGTTAATTTAGTAATTCGTAAATATTAGTTAAATTGGCATAATGAGTTATTGAGTATATATCACTGATATTAGTAATATATGTATTAGTTAGTGAATTATATACTTATCATATCATACAAGCATATATTATCTGTAGTATAATATATTAAATAATACTAATATTATGCATAATTAGGCTAATTAATAACGGTTCAATTTAATATCTTTATAATAATATTATGCGTACCTAATTACTTATATGTGATTTATATATTACTTATATTAATTATATATTTACGATATTTATTTAGACGGATATAGTATCACGTCGTTAAAAAAGCTATACATAGATCGCTAACTTATAATTTGTCTTAATTAGGTTTTTTAGGAGTGTAGACGTAGTACATTTAGTAATTTGCAAATTTTTTAATTTAGATTGTTAAATTTAAATTTGCAAATTCATTATTTCCTTTATCTTTATTAGTGTATTGAATCCAATTTTAATTGTTGTTGAATTAAAATGTAAAAAACATAAAAAATCTTCCTGTCGAATCGTCCAACTATTTGCTGATCTACGAAATGCGGGAATAATGTGGCACCAAGCTGGATTCTTGTATCCAAATAACATCTGGAAGGCTGTTCTAGAGCGATCACAGCGTAGGTATCACACAACTATTGTCCCGCACAATTTCACATCGGGGATTTACTCTGTAGCTATTAGTTCGCATGATCCAGTGACAATCGATCTGACAAGGCAAGAATGTGGGTGCGGGTATTGGAAGCAGAATGGGCTGCCATGTGTTCACGCATATGCGGTTTGTCGGTTTTTAAAAATAACCGTACACGCATACATCCCAGATGTGTATTCGTTAAATGCGTACATGCGGACGTACGCTTCTAATATTATGCCTATTAATAATTACATCAATGTCATGGCAGAAACACCGCATACACTTCTTCCGCCCACAAACAGCAGATCAGCTGGAGTTGGTAGGCCACAGAGAACTCGATTTCCCAATGAAATGGATTTCCGTGCGACTGGGAGAGGAAATGAGTGATATTGTAATGTATACATTGTACCCTACATTGTTAGTAATGAAATATTTGTTCTCTTTTTTGGGGCTTACTCATTGTATATGAACTTTTTGTTAACATAAATTCCATCAGATAAATTTAATCAGATAAATTTAAACAAATAAAATTAATGAGATAAAATTTAATAAGATAATTTCAATAAGATAAAATGTAATCAGATAAATATAATCTTATTAATCAGATAAACTATAATCTTATTAAATTTTATCAGATCAAATTTAAGTTGTCAAAAATAACATCACATTTGATCTGATAAATATAATCTGAAAAAAAAAATTTGAGATAAAATTTAAGTTGTCGCCAACCTAAAATATTCAATACAAAAATTTTGGAATTGATATAATTTGGCCCTAACACTAAAATTTTTTAGGAATTCAAAATCAAAAACAAAATTCTAAAAAAAAAAAAAATTCCCTAGTCGGAATTAGGTAATCCGACCAGGGGGGAGGGATTTTTTTTTGCTTTTTCGAAACCATTAACTAAAATTCAAAACCATATTTTGAATAAAAAAAAAAATTAAACCTAGTCGGAACTCACTAATCCGACTAGGGGAGAACACCATTTTTAAAAGGAAAAATTGATAGTAATAATCCCAACTATTGGCGGTCCGCTAAAAATAATCCCAACTATTGATTATTCCAGAATAATCCCAACTATAGGGACCTTCCGCCAATAATGGTCCCTATGAATAAATTCTTGTAGTTTCTAAAGTGGATGAGATGAGATATAACAAGTAATCCCTATAAATAATCTCAACTTTTAATTTTTACGCTTAATTTCTATTTAAAATTCACTTTTTATAGAGGTAATATTTGGTCATGGACCATTATTGGCGGACAGTCTATATAGTTGGGATTATACAAAAATAATCAATAGTTGAGATTATTTTTAGCGGACCTTCAATAGTTGGGATTATTATTTTCAATTTTTCCTTTTTAAAAACCCTAAAACCTAGTCGGAACACCCAGTTCCGACTCCCCCTATTTGGTAAACCCTAAAAAAATCCCCGTTTTTTGGCAACCCCAACCCCCTTTTCCCCCTTTTTGGTAAATCACCCGAGTTAGTGACTAATGGTATTCCAATTGTACATATAGCAGGACTTGGCATCTCCCAACAAAACTAGTATAAGCAAATATAGCTCTTTGACAAAGGCATAATATCGATGCTCTGCATATTCGCTCTGTTTTATTCGAGCTTGGTTTTCCGGTTCGAGTGCCTACTCAGTTGTTTTGTGATAATGTTTCCGCTTCATATCTCTCGGTTAATCCTATTCAGCATGTCAGGAGTAAGCATATTAATATTGACTATCATTTTGTACGTGAGCGGGTCGCACATGGTGATCTTTGTGTTAAGTATGTTCCTACACAGGCTCAACTGGCAGATATATTTTTACAAAGTGTTTGTTCCCACAACGGTTTACTCTTTTTCATGACAATCTGCGCATTGTTTCCTCTGCACTGTTTGAGGTGGTGTAATAGAGTAGATTAATTATTTATTTAATGATTATTAGTGTGGGACTCATATTGTAATTATTACTCTTGTTTCGTATATATATATCTGTCAGGGCTAACATTAAGGTTAAGCCTGGTATTATTTCTCACAATTTTAACAACCACTTGATGAAAAAAATTGTGAATAGAGTCAATTTCAAGCTTATATGGCCTCAAGAATAAAATGTTTTTTTAAGAAATAGTTTCTGAATAAGTCAAAAATTCATCATTAATAAGATATGTATAAAAATCATTTCCAAAAGATTTCTGTATCTTTGGCTTCTTACTTCTTCTCAAAGAGAATATTCATCATTAAAAGAATAATTTTATTTTAATGGATCACTACCACTAGAGGGTTCATCATTAAAGGTTTTATTTCCTTGTAATGGATTATACTCACTATCTGGTGCAATGGTCTTGTACTCAAATTTTAAAGGACAAACATTTTTCTCAAAAAATTCAGCTTTTTTGTTTCAACAACGTATACACAGATAATCATATATGCATCATATAGTGTGTGCACATTCTCCAAAAAGGATCACATTAATATCAACAATAATATAGCTTAAAGTATTGCACATTAGCACACTATTTCTTTAATTGAAGAAACTTATATATATATGCTCCACTATTTCAGTTTATGCAAAAGTAAGCAAGAATTATAAAGCTCATTTTCACTCAATAAGATAGGTAATAAAAATTTAGCTAAACACCCCTACAATTTTAGCCTAAAATACTTAAAAAACTGGAGGCACTATCTTTATAGGCTAAAATACTTACTGATCATTATAGCCTAAAATACTTACGAAACTGGAGGCACTCTCTTTGGGGCCGCTCTTTCGTCTCCCATTTACTCTCTTTGGGGCCGCTCTTTCGTCTCCCATTTTCTTTCATAGGGCGTCAATAGGGTGTATTCACTCTTAAAAGAAGAAGTTTTAGCTAGTTTTATTTTTTCAGAATTGAAAAAAAAATTAAATATGAGTATCGTACGTACAACGTACGTAACCCTATTTATGTACTTAATTTTACTAAAGTTTTATTTACTCCTAAGCTATTTACAACAACAACTAACTAAATAAAAAGTATTTGACCAAAAATCCCATAACAATGACTCTGGTTATAATAGGTAGTGATGAAGCTTGTGGATCCCCAGAAGAGGTAGTAACGTTGAACTCGTTTCTTTTACCTGCAATAAACACAGAGAGTATATGCTAAGTTTTTTTTATCATATTATCTTTAATTAATTAGTTACTATACGTTCCTCATAATTAACTGCTTGTGCATGGAGGGTGCTTGGGAAAAAACTTCAAGGGTTATAATTAATTAATAAACCTACATTTGGATTGCTCCCACCCCATTATACGCTTTTCTCGATCAAACACAATATTGTAGCCAGTGAAGAAATTCTCTGCACAAATATATCTTACTATCTTATAAAGTGGCTAAGAGAGTTAACATGGGCCTCTTCCGTCAAAACAGTGCGGATGGAAGCTCGTTTTCGCGGTTCACACTGTTGTCTTCCGTTTGAGACAGCGAGATAATATCCAGCTCTTCCTCTTGCGATGCCAGATATAACTTCTTTCCTTTCTGAGCTCTTCGAATTGATAATCTAGGGTTCGCAAAATCCTTCCGCCGAAGCCACCCTGAGTATCATTGCTTCCCCAGTAAGATTTCTTATCCTATTTTGCTGTGTGTGATTGCCTTTCTTGTTCGAAATTGGTGGCTTTGGATGCGGCGGTAAGGGAACCACTTCCCGGCCAACACTTGCACACTCAAACAAACTCCTTCTCTGATGCTGCTCCGCTGGGATTCCCGCCCAAACCTTTCGGGTCTGTTAATGGATACCGTGCGGTATCTTTCTCTGAGAAAGATTTACAGGTTTTCTCAATCAATTTCCGGTATGCCCTTGGCGGTACTTTCTTTAATGCCCCCCTTACCTCTTCCATTCCTAAGGCCTTTGAGGCGCTGGGGTTTTCCAAACCCTACTCTATCGGACTTCGGACTGCTTTAATCAAATATTTTCTTGATTAATTTCGAATCAGCACCTATGATGCCTTCCTATTATTTGGAAGCTGAGGTTAACTTAGGCACAGTTTGTTCTAAGAACAATGATACTGCCCCTTTAATCCCTGTTAGTACTCATCTTAGTGATGTTATTGCAAATGATGCTTTGGTGATAGCTCCTGGTTCTATCTATGTTGCCCCAGTTGAGATTGAAATATATGTTCCTCCTGTTCAATCTTCTATGATTGAATTTGCTGCTATGGATGCCTAACCTGTCTATGAAACCCTGTTGTTGATGATTCAAATGATGGCCCCTTTGTTACTGCTGAGGTAGCAGCCACTAATACCAATGGTATTATTGGCGTGGCTACCAATCCTCCCCCCTCCCTATTTACTGAAGTTGCCTTTGTTAGTGATGCACCCCTTACTACCGTTGCTGATACAATTCTGCCCCTTTCTGGTGATACATCACCAGGTTATACCACTGACACCACGGATGCCAACCATGCTGCCATAGATGTTATCCCTGCTTCCTCTGATAGGGATGAACCCCCGGTGGCCGCCTGTAACAAGGCGGTAACTGTAGGCGTTGTTCATCCTATTCTCATTACTCCGACTGAATTACACTCCTGCATCCTTTCTTCCTATGATAAATTAGAGGCTCCAGCAGGCATTGAGGATATTAAATCACAGATGGCCCCCTTACTGTCCAATGATGATAAAAAAAATCTGAGGACAATCAAATTAAAGCGATTTTTATTCTTTTTTGGGTTCAGCAGCTAAACGGAAGACACACAACAATTCTTCGAAGTGGGATGGACCTCACACCCAATGGTCAACCGAAGCCGCCCCCACAAACCACAAGATGATCTAAGATTTGTTTTCCTGTTTTGCTTCTCTTCTTTCTTTATCGTTTCATTTTTAGCCTGAGTTTTCATTTTGAGTGGAGGTTATACCGGGGTGTACTGATTTGTACCTCACACCCAATCTGCTCCCTAAATGTTTTACTTGGCAGGCTCACTCTTGATACTGTTGACTGATGCTATTTTTGCATTGGGCAAACACACTCTTGAAATTGAATCATCATACCTGAACTGACATATTGAATAGTTTCATGTGAGCTTCATTTATACTTTATTAATTTATATATTGTTTGAGTTCAATTGCAGGATGCTAATGTTAATTCTGTTAGTTCTCCAACTTTTTGTATACTCATGTAAACTGCAGGTAAGTAGTCTATTGTTAATTCTATGCATTATTTCTTCAATATAAAACCTTCAGTATACATTTTTATTCTTTTTTACTAATGTGTTCTGCCACATGAGTTTCTTATATCATAATCTAACTATTTTCGTTCGCTTTTGTCACAGAAGATCGAATAGTTCTTTCTTGCATCGATCATCAATGCCAGGTACTCCTCTATATGTTCATTCGCTTCCCATTTGTTTCGCTTCTGCGTTTTCTTTCCTTCAAGACTGATTGTTTTCTTTTCATTTTATTCATTCCATATTTTGTTTCATTCTAGCACACTTTCCCCCCCTCTACTTTGGGTTTTCTTTTGTGCTAGAGATGATAATTTGTTTTTTTTCTATTCTATTCTGGCTGGAAGGATTTTTCCTGACCCGAAGAACTTTTTTTGGTTTGTTTGAATTCTTGCTAAACATTGAGATTGTTCGCACCAGAGCCAAACAATGATATGCTTTAAATAATTGGATCTGTGCTAAAAATTAAAATTATCTTTTACCATATTCATTTTGTCTGGTTATTCAAAAACTGCAGTACTCTGGATTAATAGAGCAGACTAAGCTGGAAAACAAGACCCCATTTGTAAATATAAGAATTTTAGACTTATCATCTAGAAGCACAAACCCGTATAAGTGCTTTTTAAAAAGTAACAAAGAAAGATCAGATAAGCTTTTTATCATACATAGTATATGCAAAATACAGGGAATAGCTATACCATAAAATATAGGTTTAGCTGCATATAGCCACACAAGTATAGCTTCTCAATTCTCAAATTGTTATGCCCTTAATAGGCGAACTTAAAGTACCCCAACTTTTTTTGAATTATTTCACTACAGAATAGGGTGTCTAACTAATTTAGTTTTTTCTGAACTTTTATTTTCCAATGGAACTTATTAAAAGGTATGCCTTTGTTGTCGAATGTCAAAGTTTGATTATAAAAAACAAATAAAAAGATGCACAACTACAAATTAATCAGGTTTTACACACAACATCAATGCTTTTGTAAAGGATGGTGAATCCCCTATCTTTCTCAAGAAATAGTTTTAATCATTATCTTTTTACCATCAATGTACTCCTAGGTCAGTAGGTTGGTATATAAGTTCCTTTCATGTTTAGAAAATATGTGTACAATTTTAGATTTGATTGTGAATGTTCACATTTTATAATTTTGTGGTGACAAGTAATAGTTATTTTATAAATAATGAGTATATCAGAATGACAAGTTATATGCCCAATAAGTACATATTTTATAAATGACAAGTTATAAGCATTTTTTAGGAGTATATCTCATTGCATTCCTAAACAAAACTAATCACATATATGCTCAATGAGTAGCATTTGCTGATGTTTTGAACACATTGATGTTTTTAATATCAGAAGCCTTGAATGAGTAAATCCAAGTTAATTTTAACTTCGCTTTTTTACTGAATTCATTCTTGTTTGATACTTGCATAAGTTGCATTTGTAACTTTTTTGTTCTATCAAGGATATGATTTTTTTAGCCTATCAAGAATTTGACTTGAGCATACACAAAAAAAAAAGCAGTCTTGGTTGGATTTGTTAGCCAGACAGTCTTGGTTGAAGTTCACCCGGGACAACTTAAGAGTTTCTGCCATTAGTAGAAAAAATCTAACCTCAATGTTGGAGATGGAGAGGTGTCCGTCTGAGTCATAGAGATTAATTTAGAAACTCAATATATCATATTACACATAGGAAAGGGTCTCTTAGCTCTTCCACCATCACACCCTTAATTATGCTTCATTTCCAACAAAAAATTGGAAAGTGGTAGTAAATATTTTCCAGCCGCTTCATTTTTTAGCTAAAGTGGTGTGTTTATTATGTGACAGTCAGAGTAATTCGAGAAGGCCGCCATCTCAAAGTCCGAGTATAAGAAATGTTTGAGATTCAATGAAGCGAGTCCTAAAGTTGGTTTCTAAAAGATCATAAGCTATATTCAATGCGTCAACACAATAAACTTACAAAAGATATGCTCTGCATTTAATTTGTTATAAAATGACTTCTCATGTAAATGTTCTATCTAAATACTGCATGAGCACTTGGTGTTTGCAGATAATTTATTATGTTTTTGCAGATAATACTACTTATGTGTTTAGAAACTAAAACACAGTTTTTGTGATCAGTTTAGAAGGAAACTGGGATTAGAAGGGAACTGTGACCATTTTTTTAAAAAGATGCTTACAATCAACTTAACTATGTATAGTAATAGTTTTTGTGGCATCATTAATTGGGTAGTATTCTACTTACTATGATTCTTTTTCAATGTGACACTCAGTAGTGTTTTTATTTTAGTTATCAATGCTTCTTATTATTGTGAATTCTTTTATTCTAAATATTATTGTGAATTGTTTTATTTCTATTCTTCTCTTTGTAAATAGGAGTGGGGTGGGGTGGGGGGTTGACCTAAACTTCAGGTTTGTGTATTAATCTCAACTTTCTGTTTTTCTTTTTCACTTGATAGCATAACATATTTTAAATATCAACTCGCTGAGTTTGGCTCTTTAAAGCTTCTAATAGCATACTCTATATTTAACCTACGACAGAATAATTCTGAGAGGTGATCTTCTGCTGCTTTCTCACTGAATAAATTTAATGATTTCAGTTTTTTACAGTTATTTTCAGTATCTTATGCATGCTTTAGTTAATAAAAAATAAGCCGCTGCTTTTTCTCCAACAAGCTGTTCTTCCGCTGCTATTTAAACAAGGTCACTTCATTCTTTAAGATTCAGTTGCATATCATCAATATTTGTTTTCCAATTTGTTATGATAAAAGTGATTTGTGATTAAAAAAGGTGATTTGTGATGAATAATTTAACTATATTTGATATTCCCCTTCTCATAGAAATACTTTTTTCTATAATTTTTTTCCTCTCTTAAAGTAAATTAGATAATAGAGTTTTTTTTACCAAATGTGGACAATCACTATCATATTTGACCTTAGATTTCCTATTTATGGAATATCGTAATAATATATACCAGTGACCAGTCCATATTTTCTGATTTTAAGTGAAACATATTAAAAAAAAGGATTCCCAACTTAAACCAAATTAATATTATTTGAATATCAAATGATTACCCCATGAAACTTACTTTTTACGAACCTTATTTGAGTTTACCTCTCTGAGCCTAATGACAAATTGACAATAGTGGGTCAATATATATAAGCCACACACTTAACTTGAAATACACACCATTGTAGCTTATTGACTGCAATCATCTTAGAGTTCGACATTGTGGTGGCTCATTTCATCAACTTATTTCAATGTTAGCCTATTATAGCCCCCCAAATGCTTCATGAACTAAACCAATTAAACACGAGACCTTCTTCACCGTGGCTGAAGTAATGCAATATAAATTTTGTGATGTTGTATATATGTTTTATGTTGATGTAGATCCATGTTCAATTGATCCTTGCATGGTGTTTCCAGAGTTACAAAGTTACAAGTTGAAAATAGAACACAAGGGCAGTGATGACAATTTTGGCAAGAGAAGCTTCTAATTTGTCATTCACTTTTTTCCCTAATATATCTTGCTATATCTTAAAGAGTCTACGAGAGTTAGTATGGTCCTATTCGGTTATTGTCGTCTTTGATGATTAGCGATGTATACAACCTCCGTTTGCTACCTCCGTTAAAAAGAGATTCACCGAACTCAGCAACTGCATCCAATCAAAGTAGCCAATCTACCTTTCTCTTACTTTCAGTCATTTGCAAAATATTGTGATATTTCATTGTGCATTTTAGATCAGTCAATTCCTGCCCTGCATATTTAATTTCTTCATTTTATGGTGTGTTTAACTATAATTTTTCTCCTATTATGATTTGATATGATTAAGGTAAACTGAAAGAATTGAAATAGAATGGTCAACATAAAATTTAAGCAAAAGTGCAAAGCCTCTTTGTAAATGCTACATCTGTTTTCTGGTACTTTGATTTTTTTCTATATATTGACAATTCTAATTTTGTTGTTGAAGAAATAGGTTGCCTAATGTTAATTCCAGGCTTTGTCCTGCGTGAGCTACACTATTGGTAATCTGGTATTATTTAATGATCTTCTTAGTTTCTTATTTGAATAAATGACGTGTTTTATTATATGTTCTAATTCATTTGTCTTCTGTCAGTTAGGTGTAAAACCTGGTCTTGTCCATTGTTTATTTTAAGATTTCCCTATTCAGGCTGTTATAATATTTCCACCTTATGTTAAACCTTTTGATGTTTTCAGCTCATGACATTCTATTCTGTTTGTTTATCGTGGAAAAAAAGCATAGTGGAAGCAGGTGGGTTCAACAAAGCCTATAGTGTACCACAAGAACTTTAGGTTGTTGTTGGCCAACCGACACTCCCTAGAACTGAGGTTAGGTCCTCATTTAAAGGTAAGCATTGATTAGAGTTGTAAGTACTAACGCAATCTTCTTTTCCAAACCAGATCTTGAAGCAGTTGTGGACATACATCAGGAATCACAACCTACGGACGTTTAGAATCTTAAGGTGGAAGTAAGTTATTTACATTATGAATGACTGGTTCATGAACTTATGTGGTATTAAATTACTAATAGCGGATTATGTAAACCACAAACATGTAGCCTACACATTATAGAACTATTTCACATTTTTAGGAATGAAATTTCGTGAACATTTTTGTATCTAAAGTTTAAATGACTTCGACTTTTTTGTTATATATGTAGTACTTTGTATTAGTTTATGTATGATTTTTTTACAATTTAACTGATTTCCGTAATTGTGATGTTCCCTGATTTTTTATAATGTAATTAATTTTTATGTGGGCTGGCAATTGTTATCTTAAGCTCTCTCAAGACCTTTTCTGCTATAATAGACTATGTCATAACACGGTTTTGCTTTAATTTGATAGGTGTCACTGTGTCAACGGATCTGTTTATTGGTACTCTATTAGATTACTCTTGAAACTATTCGAATTTGGATTGTTCAAACTTTCATTGTATAATTACTCTTCTGGTGGTGCAGGTGACATCCATGTATGCCCGGTTGCTCTTAAAACTCAAGGGGGTGAGGAGCTAGAAATACAAGTAAGATAAATGCTATAGTAATTTGATTCTAAAGTTTATATGCAGATTTTGGAGTTAATTAGTACTATTTTATAAACACAAAATGAGTTGAAAAACACAAAATTTCATATTTTTTTAACATTCGAAAACACAAAATGCAAACATTGTGTTACTACCAATACACTTGTATGGCTCTTTTGCAAACAACTTTTTATTTGTTTGCCTTTTATTTTACATACGCTTTAGTCTTTATCCATTATTGGGCACAGACCTTCGCGCGGAGCGCGTGCCATGCTAGTAATTAGTTAAGTACTGCGGAGTATCATTTATTGGACGTGCCTATATGGCTATATGCATGCATATACATGCTAATTAAGATACGTTAATACAACTATGACGTAAACTAAAATAGAAACATATAGCACGTAGATAATTAATTAATATCGTAAACATAATAATTGTAAAAAATTAAAGCTATAGATGATTGTAAGAGAAATAATAATATCGCTCACGTACGTCCAATTATGTTAATATTGTCGTGCTTTATAATAGCTAGACAATAGTAAGAACCGTTACCCTGAAAAGTTAAATAAATAGAGTTACATTATTTTAAACAAAAGATAGCAATATGTACAGCCCTTTAGGAATTCTATAAAAATAAAGCTGAGCAAGCACCTCACTGCACCTGATAATCTAACTCGATTGTTGGAAAAAGGACATCAAACTTTTGTCCTCCTTTCATTATTAAACTCACTGTAGGAGTCCAATAAGAACTTCGATTTTGGCTACAAAAGGCATATATATTTAGAAAATCTCCGTCAGAACAAAAAAAACATACAAGCAATTATAAATGAGTATATTGTATATATAAATGTTACGTTACTCCGAGAGTTCAAAATTGAACGCAATGGAACCACGTAAAAAAAATGTAACTCTACTATAAAATCACCTCAAGTCATAGCAGTATTTAAAATAACGAGGAGATGGTTGTTTTCGGCGAGGTTCCTTTATCAGAGAATTGAACTGCAAGGAATTGTTAGAACAAACATATTATAGGGGTAAATAATGTGTAACTGCTGACATGGATAATGTTTTACTTTGGAACCTCAAATTGACAATTATTGCATGCATCAAATAATTTGAGAAATAGGTTTAAAAGGTACGCTAAGCAAGTTTCGTTATCTGGCCACAGAACCATTTCGAAATTCGGGTCAAAAATAACCATTTCGATATACGGAGTGTCATAATTTGAAAAATAGGTTTAAAAAGTAAGTGACAATTCCGGTACTCATTTAAAAAGTAGGGTAGCGTACCTATCATGCATTTGATTGATCTAAATCATTATATCTTTTTTAATTTAGATTTAAATTATTCAACTGCATCATTTTGATTGGTACATGTGGACAAATGCATGGTACCTTTTGGGTACCATAGAATCTACCTTAAAAGTATTCTAATTGTGAAATAAGTTTTAGAAATACTCTCTTCGTGAAAAAATTAAACTCACGATCCTTTAACATCACGTAAATTTGGGATAAAATTATGTATACTTCATTATTTTAACCAATTGATGAGGTTATTATGGATAGAGTTCAATGAAGAATTATGATACTCCTCGTGTCCTTTATAATATTTTCAATTTTCCATTTTCAATCATCCCAGTAATTTTGTCATTTTTTCTTTTAAATAAAGAATTTATGGTTCTTAAATCTCTGTACTCCGAATTTTATTAATTTCCTTATGTACCACTCAACTTTGATAAAGTATTAAAAGCAACTGATGGGGTATGTTATGATGTATATTAGATACATATTTTTTCCCCTAAAATAGGAGCCCGTTTGGTGACCCCTTTTTTCGGCCGTTTGGTGACCCCTTTTTTCGGCTTGTCAGGCTAATCAGCCAATGTTTTCCCCAAACACGTAACTTTTGATTTTACGTGCAGAATTGTGTAATAAGCTGAAAAAGTAAGGTTGGAGTTACTTTTCTGGTTGTATTGGCTGAAGTTACTATAGCGGATCATTTTACCTATTTTTTCATATAATTTTTTATTTAATTTATTAATTTTTTTTTCATTAATCAGCCAAAACAGCCACTTTAGCTAAAACTTTATAAATTTCGGAAGAAACTGCCAATACAGCCAAATCTAGTGTTACCAAACGGGCTCTAATTGTACTAATGAATGAGTCTGTGAGCTCGGTCGTAACATAGAGGAAGCAGTCCAGTCCAACTGGTTGACGACTCACTCTTCCTTATGGCAGGTCCCGAGTTCAATTCTCAATGGAGTGAGATTGAATCTAGTTTACCACAGACCCCCAAACCCCGCTCCCCTTGACCCCCTGGGGTAAAAGAAAAGCTCGGTCGTAACATAATGTATGTCTGAGTTGATTAATTATTTACATATAACGAATGGTAAAGTACGGAAATTAAGACTCCGGAGTGCCAACTATTTTTTGCCATAATGACTAAGCTATGATACTAATTTGCTTAATTTAGTACTTGGGGTTACAAAGTGGATCCACATTATTAGTTATAGAATTGTGCCCCCGATGAATCCATAATTGTGGTCCCATACAATATACGGAGTACATGTGTGTGGTGCTCATAATTTGTACAAATAGTTTCTACAGAAAAGGACTCACATTCTCTGTAATAAAAGTGTAGGCCGGATCACTTAAGATTGTAAATGATGTACCAGAGTCAAAAAATACTGTGAGACCAACATGTTTAAGGACATTTTGGTGCACCACAATTTCCTCAATCAAAACATTGTGAGCTTCACTGCATATAAGAAGATTAAACAACAGAATTAGTTAAGTCTCTATAAAATTCAATTAATTATTAGAATTCGATCAGAAATACTGCGAGTTCCTTTGTCCCCGAAAATTAATCTCCCCTTCCCATTGGGTGAGAAACAAAGGGAGAAGGAATTGCCAATAATCCCTTGAGAAGCAAGGATGCTAAGCACATCCATATCTTCAGGCCCATTACCCGGCCCGAGTCCCAATAGCCCGTTGACGGCAGAAGAGCGCACAAATAATCCTTTGACCTTGGACGCACACCTTTAATTATATGGACAAGGCGCGGTAATTAAAAGAAATGAATAATTATATGCACAAGGCACAGTAAAAAATACGGTACATAATTAATAATTAAATACAACTAAAACAGTAAAACTCCACGCATTTTTCAAAATGCGTTTCCTCCCATTCCGAGTATGGAGTACATTTTAACTACTCATCTTAGGACTAAATGAAATCAGTCTTGTTTTCAGAAGAAAATACAAATATTTCTTTTTACACATACGTTTTAAAATGTTAACAAACGTTCTACATTCTCGAAATTTGCAGTTCGAAAAAACTCACCAGCAAAGTGATGTGAAATTTTATTTTTTTAAATTATTTTTTTAAAAAAGAACAAGGTTAATGAAGTTTTTCTTACATAATACTCCGTACGTTATTTATGAACATCGTGAACATTAGTTGAATACTTTGACCAAAAAAGTCAAATAAGACAAAGCTGTGAAACGGAGGGAATTGCATTGTCATGACATGCACAAATATGTAATAATAACGAAGCAGCCATCATCAGGACCATCACTCCAATTTTGGGCTTGGATTTTCCACAAATGCATATGCACAATACCCCCCACCCCCCAAAAAAATGAATGCACAAACATTAATATCTACTTTTGTCATACTCTTTAAATCAATAGTTATAGACTTTAATTTGACCAATAATAATTTTGATTAGTACAAAGTATACATTTATTAAAGTTATAATATGATTCTAATATGAAAGTATTTCAACAACGAACGTTTTTCATACCATTTTTACATTACAAATCATTTCATATAAAAATATACAGAGTCTTATTCATCAAAGTTTACCTTGTTTGATCAAAAAGTTAAAAGATACTCCGTAACAAAATATTAATCCCAACCGTTTTCAAAAGAAAGTCACAGTTTGACTTTTCCAATTTTAAGGAAATTGATTTACTGAGGTGTAATTTTTACTCTAGAGAACACTGTTTTGACTCTGTTTGATACTATTTGGCACTGTTTCGTACTATTTTGATATAGATTTTTTTGACAAATAAGAAAATAAGATAAGTGTGACTTTGTTTTTAAAACATCCAAAAAATGAACGTGTGACTTTGATTGCCATGCCAAACGGAGATAGTATTACGTAAGAAATGGAGGGAGTACTTCGTAAAATGTATATACGTATAAGTACGTACCCGAATGTAACATTTGCTCTAAAATGTTTAGGTTGCTTAGCATAAGTGGCTAGGTGTATGACGTCAGATATGAGCACTCCTGTAGTCGAAGATCCATCCAAATATGGGACCTCATAAGGGCATCCCTTAGTTGAAGGACAATGTTGCCGCCGACATATTCCACTGTCGCAACCAATACTTGTATATGTGGACGAGTTAATCGGATGGTAAAAATTGAAATTTATGGTCTGTTCTAGGCCGAGAGATCGTACGTACATGGCAGGTGTCAAGAGTACAAAAGAGAACAATTTTGATTAAAAAGGATAAAAGAGAAATTATATTTGCAATTAACCTACCATAATAATATGTACGTATAGAAGAGAATAATAGGTAAAAAAACTTGAACATATATTCGAAGTATATATATACCTGGTGTGTTGAAGGAAAAGTGACGTGGCGTGAACAGACGTTGCAATTGCATGGGAGCCAAAATAATGAGCTCCCAGTGTCTAATGCCACCATGAACGGCATTGGAGGCGTTCCCACATAAACTTTTACAAAATGATAACTGTAAATTAAAGTCAGTAAAAATTAATTAAAAACATATATCAGTCTCACGTACGGTTAATTGCTCTAATTGAGACCATTTATATATTCAAGTCATCAAATGTTAATTGCGTAAAATCTTACTAAGTACTTCGTACGATATACATACTACCACATACACTACATCAATTTCTTTTTTTTTTTACTCCAAGGGTCGTCCGGGGGAGAGGGCTGGGGGCTGAAGTAGTTGCGGCTAAAACTCTCTCCAATGAGTTTCGAACCCGAGACCTTCCATTTGGGAGAGTGAGTCGGCGCCACTTGGGCTGGACCATTTCCTCATACATCTATACTCCCTCCGTCCCAATTTGTTTTGCAAAGTCAACATTTTTTGTTAACTAATAATAAAAGTCAATCCTTCCTATTGATAAGTAATTCAATTTTTAATAATTAAAATGTATGTATTCATAAACTACATTAAAATCCCTTCAAAGTTGTAAACCCCAAATTAGAATATAACTAAAAATTGACATCTTAATCAAGTGAACAAAACAAAACTGTTTGATCTGGAAAAGTCACATTTGGAAATCATTTTGGGACGCATGTAGTATTTTATTAGTTACAACCATTTGATAACAATACATATAACTTTGGCTATCAATACATACGTTTTTAATGATGTATGTAAAAATATTATAAAGCGTATAATATTTTGAAAATTAAACTAACACAAATTAATTATATTGTGCGAAGTACTTGGTAAAATTTTACGCAAAGTGGTACATGCTTAATTAGCTAGTTTTACTATGTGTATACATAATCCTACTTACCTCCCCCAATTATATAAGTCCCTGGTTACACTTTTTGAGTTAAATTTTTTAAACTTTGACCTTTAACTATTCATAATTTACATTAGTCTATCACACGTAATTAACTTTGTATACTTCATTGTAATATAGATTATGTATTCAAATGTTAATTTACACTGTATGTAGCTTTAGATTTTATAAGTACTACGTATATATTTTTAGATATCAAAGGTTAAATTTCCATGCATGCATTATACTCATTAGTGAACTTACTCTGCGAACGTTTGCATCTGAAAGGTGGCATCTCCGGATGAAAAGGTGATGGCCGGAGAAGATTGGCGTCTCCGGGAATCACGGGCTGCCAAGTATGAAAAGTAATCCGCGCCTCCTTTCGTTGGCAACCCGTCCTTACCTAAGACCTCAACAACTTCGCTCGAGTAGCGGTCATAGATGTCAAAAACACCATTGTTATTTGGTGACGATGAAACACCCATTGCTGCTACTAGGAAGAATAAGAACCAATACATCGTACGTCGTACTTTCCGGCCAATTCACTAGTTGAATATGGTGACTCAAAGATGAGATTAGCCCATATGCATACCACCAGCGGCTCCCCATATAAATAGATTCATTGAAAGACTCTTAGCCGGAGGAAGGATCTAAGCAAAGTGAATTATTGAAGTGGAGCTACTTAAATTAGTCACCAAATGACAAAAGTTGGAGAGTTTTGAAACTGCCCTACAAAAACTTAGCAAAAGTAGGGGAGCTAGTTTTATTAGATATTATTCTAAATAAGACTAAAACTTAACAAAGAGTACACAAATAAAGTTGCATGTCTTTTATTTCTAAAGTATGAGTAACTTGATCGTATTAAAACCATAAAACTTTCTCGAGTGAATAAGTCTTATTTCAGAAGAAACAAAACAATGAAAGTCTTACATGTACACTATGTCTGTGTATTGTCTTCTATAATGAATTTTCTCTTATTTGACGGGAGTTAGTTTTAGGATACAAAAAAATGAATACCGTAGTTTTTTTTACTCTGGGGTCTGGGGAGGGGGGCTGGGGAGGTTGGAGTAATCAGGGTTGAAACTCACTCCATTGAGTGTCGAACCATTATGTGCCTAGCGGGTTTCAAGCTCGAGACCTCCCACTAAGCTGAAATGCTTGGGTTTGACAAAAAGGAAGTACAAAAGAAAGAGGGGGACTAGACCAAAACCTTCCAAGGAAGGCATATCTTCCAAAAATACAAATCAGAAAACGAATAAAAGCATAAAAACCAATGAGAGGACTATACCTTAATTACCCATTGGAAAAACAACAATTTCATTCTAAAGTAAGGAATACCAAAATAATCAGTGTAGTAATATTTCAGAACTTTGGGCCGAGCAGCTCCTCACACCTGGTGAACATAATAATCCGGCCCAGATTGAGATTTTCCAACGCATGGGCGGCCCAATTGCCCTCTCTGATCTGACCGTATGACCAAAACGTTTGTATATTCCAAAATAAGATTACCACATTTTTATTCCTAAAATAGAACTAATTACTCTCATGTTTTGGAAGTACCAGACTTTAAAGATGATAGTAAATTACTCTTATTTTGGGAATAAAAAGATGACAGTCCTATTTTGGAATTTTCAAACATATTTACTCCTATTTCGGGAATTTTCCCAAACTAGTTTTGGAATGGATACCCTCTTCCTTCTTGAACTAAAGATTTTGTTTGGGTTTGACATATGTACTTATCTATAAAGTAGTTGAAAAGAAAGATATGTTTTAGGTTGAATATAAAAGAGTCAAATAATAAAAAACCACATACTGCTATTTATTTTCTCAAAATGAGAATAAAAGATGTTCAAGAATGATCCGAAGAGAAAAAAGAAACTTATTTTAAGAATAGTACGTAGTCTATTAATGTGCTCTACTTTGATTATATTTAATCTACAAATACATTAAAATTGATTTTGTAAAAAATATAATTAAATTCTTCTCATTTTAAATTTTCAAAATGTGAACGTTTTGAATTTCTTACCATTAGGAAATCAAATATATTAATGGTCAGAGTTGAGTATTGACAGAAAATAGAAGTGTTGCAACTAATAAATAAAGGAGGAAGTAATATAATATTTTAGAAAAATTGAGACCCTAAATAAATAAATAAATAAAAGATATATGACACCGGTACCCCAACTCTAAAGTCCCCAGAACCGATTAGACAACTATCTGGAAGAATGTAAGTTGAGCTTTGATCGTACTTTGATTGATGGAAAGAGAGTGAGATTTAATCTCAAGGCATTGTTTGAAGTTGAACTCAAGACTTCTCTCTAGTGGCACTTTATTCCCACTAGGAGCTCCTTTCATGGTGGGCTATTTGTAGATATATATCCAGTAACGTGTTATAAACAGTATAATTATTCCTTGAAACCATTAGTTGTTATATATATAGTCGGGATATTGTCAAGTTCCAATCCTTTATAATTTGTGTGCTATTGGTTCTCTATTCAACTTACTTAATTACATTTTTTACCTGGCCTACTCGATCAAAATAGACTTGTTATGTTTGTATGTTAATTCAACTGGACTGTATGTTAATTCCAAACAGCCCCATGAAATAGTTCGAGATGCTCTTTGTGTGTGTATCTTAATGTATATTTAGATTGCACCACAATATCACATATAAGTACTCCATAAAGCTAAGGTGTTACACATTCACTTGTGACACTCAATGGACCATTTTATTTTTGTGTGCACTACGCCACTACTTTATATATTTTTCCCTACAAACATATACGTAGTACGTATGTACACGTTATGATTCCCCATATATGGCATTGACCCTCTTCCTTCTATACAAAGGAGCTAGGGCTCCATTTTTCGTACGTTCATTTGCGCAATATTGTCGCATTACCAAATAAACATATAACTTCTTCACAATACTGGTTACACACTTACACCACATGCACTTCTATGAGCTTTTACTTGAGCTTCAACTCAATTACGTTTATGCCTGACCTAGAAGTACAAACATGTGTGTTTTCATAGAGTAGTAATTAAATACCGGAAAGATTAAAATTTTGGTTATTACTCAATCTGATCATATTAACTGTGTCATTAGACATTTAGACCCATACGAGTTGGACAGGACGATCCGGAATACGGTGATGATGGTACTATGGACACTTGCCATAGCCCAATAAGTCAACTATGACCCAACTCAAGGGGAGCCCAATACACGGGACTAATAGATCAGATAATGTCATCATACTCGTATGTATGGGTGGACGATTCAGTTTATGATTCGGTTTTCATCGATCTTGGTTCAGTTGTGATTTATTCCGTTTGGTAGATATTGTATCAATTTAAAATCATGAGTTTCGGTTAGATTTCAAAGTTCGGTTTACCAAAGTGAAAATTATTAGGTTCAATTTAGTTTGATTTGATTCGGTCTCAAATGTTTATCATTTTATTTGATCAAGTTCTACATTTTAGAATTAGAAAATGAAAATAATAGCACATCTCATCTCCTTGTATTTGTTATTTAAATAAAATATTAAGTACAAATTAGCATCTAATTTATCTTACTAAGGATGTTTTTACTTGGACTGTAATTTGTCCCAGACCAGACCGGACCAGACCAGACCAGACTTGGATAGTTATAAAAATACAAAGAAACCAGACCTTACCAGACCAGACCAGACCAGTTCAGACCAGACCAGACCAGACCAGACCAACAAATTACAGTCCAAGTAAAAACATTCTAATACGGCACAAAAGGCAATTGGGGCGGCATTCTAGGCGTGAGTCGGCATTTCAGGGGTGAATCCCATGCCCATCAGCCCATGTTAGTCATGTACAGTTGGATTTGGGGCAACATGCCCATATGGAGATACATTTGAGGCTGCATTGGAGTTTGCCCTACGGCAAAGAATGCAATTCCTTCTCTAGTTGGGCCACCCACTTTAATTAACTAACAATTTAAATATATTTCAAAATGTAGGGAAGATCTATATATATATATGGATTTTTTACAAGAATATTATGAAAATAAAACTTATTTATATAAATATGATTATTCATTACTACAACGTGATGTTGTGGTAATTCATGTTCAAAAGTTGAATATGAATTACTATGATTTCATTACTATCCTAGTAAGTAGTCATATTTTTGTAAACCATCTTTATTTTTGTCATATTTATGTAATTATTTCTATATATATATATATATATATATATATATATATATATATATTCACAATAGTAATTCATGGAATTTTAAGTTTGCACCCCATTTTTAAGGTGATATTAGACTTTGCACACCATTTTCAAAATATTTAGACGTGACACCATATTGTACAACATTTTTTGCAGAAAATTTCCTGAATGGGGTTTAAAGGCAAATACATTTCAATGAAAATTGGGTGCAAAGTTTAAAACTTTTGATAATGAGGTGCAAAGTCCAATATCACCCAAAATGCGGGGTGCAAAGTCAAAATATCCTTAATAATTTCCTAATGAAGTAATTACATATTAATGACTAAAATGAAGATCATTTACAAAAATGTGATTAGTTACTAAAGTAGTAATGAAATTTAAAATAACTTATGTTCAATTTTTAAACTTATGTTACTATGACACCACATTGCAGTAACGAATTAATAGTCATATTTGTGTAAATATGTTTTATTTTAGTAATATTTATGTAAGAAAAAAACCCTTCACTAATATATTTTGTGTATGAGTTTATAATTTTTATTAACTAACAATGTACTTAAATTAATATTATTAAAAGATATATATTATAATTCTTTAATATTTTTACAAACCCTTTTTAGTTAATGATGTGAATTTTCTCGCACTTAAAATAGATCGTAATATAGTGGTGTAAGTACGAGTATCGTCTCCATAGGGACGGACAAAAGGGAATTAAGGATTAATTAAATTCAGCGATTAAAAAGAAAATAAATAAAATAAAAATGCAATTGTGCGAGATTGATTAGTGAATCAAAATTAAACTAATGCTAATGAGCAATCAAAATAAAGTTGGTTTCTTTCTAATTAACGACGAAGGGAACAGGGATTGATTCCGGGGTAACCAGATTTCCGGCAGAACAGGCCTAATTACAAGAAATTGATATAATTGAGCCTAGCTAATCATTACTAAGTTCTCACCGCTCTCACGGCGCAGAGTACAATAATTTAGGGAACCAGGCTGATCTCTCATGCGACAGGATCCTAAATTATTGCCAAGACGAGCGAGCTTACGGCTCCTTAATCGCTACTAATCTCTTAGCGAACGACTAAGTGTGTTTGAATGTGTCCTAAAATAAATTAGATATCTCTTAACTTATTCTATAGGCAATTGTAATTCTAGCGCGCGTTCTAGGTTACAAAAGATATCAGTTAAATTATTCAAACACAAATTAAACGACATTGATGCAATTAAACCGACAAGAATCTAGCCATACATCATGATTAACCCCATCATCAACCCCAAATCCCTAATTAAACTACTCACAATTCATAATTGAAGAATCAACAGAATTGGGATGAATAGAATTAATTGTCATTAATTAAAAAGATGAACTTACAAATAATCTCAGGGTCTTTGAGTAAACAATGATAAAAACGCAAGTAAATTCGT